CCCCAAAACCCCAAAACCCCAAAACCCCAAAACCCCAAAACCCCTGAAAAGCAAAATCGAATTGATGATTAGCATTTTGCAAAGATTTATAGTTAATTTACACATCAGCCATTAACAATTTCTGGAGTCTCTAGGTCCCACACTGTTGTTGAACAAGTCTAGTATTGTCTTTCTTTCACAACAAATTAAAGGTTAGAATCCTCACTGTGATCATAATAAGATATTTATTGATAAAATAGAGGACAACCAGCAAAATGATCGCTATGTGACAGCTAAGTACGAACAATTTGATTGGGTTGATAATAGTCCAGAATAGAGAAAAGATAAGGTCGATCAACCATCCTCTGAAGTCCAGTGCGTCTTTCTTGCTTCTTTTTCTAATACTTTTCTTCTAAAATATCAATCACCGGTATCTTACCTTCCTGCTGCTTCTGGATAAACTCTTCATTGAGGTGCTAGTGAGCCCGTCCTCATCCACTTTAAATTCATCTATAAAATTTAAGAGTCTGGAGAACCAAGTTGGAACGAACCACTGGTGAAGGTTTTAGCCAAAAAGAAGTATTTTTATCATTCTGATAGAAAAAGTCTTTTCTTGTATTTCCTCAAAAATTGTATTCAGCCAATCAGTATTTTTTCAAGCCGACCAATAAGAAATAAGAAAAGAGAACAAGGTATTGGAATGAAAATCTCTGAAATGTACCCTTTCAGGACAGTTTAAGGTATATTTTTGCTAAAAATCCTTCCTAAAACCACAATCGGGAATTCTATCACCCATATTAAAAGTTCAAATAAGGATTACATTCAGAGTCGAGCTGAGAGAAATTAGTCTGGCTGGGACGAAGACTACTGCTTCTGCCTCTAGGAAGAGTATTCTTCCTGTGCTTGAGTCCAGATGGTTTGGCTACATTGCTTAAATTTATCCACGTACTATTACTCTCAGGTTCGCTCATTATTATTTTTATTACATGTCAGCTAAAATTTAATTATCTGGGGTTTTGGGGTTTTGGGGTTTTGGGGTTTTGGGG